GCGAAGGGCGGTTTCTCCACCCATTTCTCCAAAGGACAAGGACAGCTTCATCTGCAGAAAGCCTACAGGGGCATCCTCCTGAACAACACTATTGGCAAGATCAACAGCAAGTTCCTGAGAGGCCTCTTCCGCGACATCTTACCCGACCTGCTGATGGACACACAATGCGGCGCCGTCCCTCACAAGGCGACTGACTTCATCACTCACACCGCCTACACCTTCTTGGACGACTGCCGTACGCAGGCTCGCACGGGCAGCATCCTCTTCCTGGACTTGAAAGAAGCCTTCCATTCGGTAATCAGGGAGTTCATTTTCCAGCTGCCGACTCAGGAGGACGAGCTCGAAGACGTCATCGACAACATCGAGATTCCCATCTGCCTCCTCCCCTCCCTACGACAACGTCTTCGCTGTCCAGCACATCTCAACGCCCACGTCGACGACTCTCACCTCTGCGCCCTCGTTGCCGACCACCACACGGCCAACTGGATGACCGCTAAGGGCACCGACGCATACGTGATCCCTCGCACCAGTACCAGGCCAGGGGTGCCATACTCCGACGCGGCTTTCAACGTGCATTTCTCCCTAGTGCTTCAGGCCATCGCCGACGACACCGATGGGGCAGAAGACGGCGAGAGCGGCCACCACATCCGCCCCTGCGACAACCCGCTCTTCTCTACGGCTCCTCATCACGGCGGCAAGCTGACCAACATGTCCTTCGTCGACGACCTCACCGACTTCAACTCGACCACCCGCCACTCCGACATCATTGACATTACAAGAACTTCAGCCGAACGTCTATGCCGTACAGCCTTTACCTACGGGCTCAAGCCACACCCAGACAAGACCAAGGTCATCATCTCCTTTAACGGGACGGGCTCCAACGTCGCACGCAGTAGGCTTGCACAGCAGAACATTACATCAATCCAGCTGAGCATCATGTCGATCTCGGTCCAGATCACAGACCAGCACCGACTCTTAGGCACCATCCTCACCAACGGCAGCATGGGCCCCGAGGTGCAGAATCGCATGCGACGAACCGACGCTTCGGCACGAGCTCTTGAGAGGCAAATCCTACGACGTCGACGCCTACCCCGCAAAACGAAGATCAAGTACGTGCGCGCCCTCTCGACTGCCTCATTGACCTTCAACCATCACGTCTGGCCAGCACTGACCCAGACTGACCACCAGCGCATCTCCAATGCCTACTCGAAGCCCTATCGCACGGCAGCTGGATTACCCAAAGCTAACTCGCAGCTTCACCATTTCACGGCCACCGAAGTAGTAGCTTACACTGGCATCCCCGACTTCGACCACCACCAGTCTGCTGGACGGCTGCGATACTTACCACGGCTTCTACGACACGCTCCTCAGCAGCTCCTCCAACTGCTTGACAACCAGCGACGGAGAAAGGGCTCATGGACATACATGCTTTTCCAGGACTTCGACTTCCTGCGCACATACCTGGACGACCAGCGCTGGCCCACGACCAGCAAGCTCGACTCCGACGTTTTTGCATGGGCTCGCACCACGCCGAAGCACTTCGCCAACTCCGTCAACCTGGCCGTCACAAACTACATCCGCGCCTCCAAAGACCACGCCCACGCCGACAAGTTGACCAAGGTGCTCAGACCCGACGGTCCCATTGGTGCGGGCCCCACGCCATCACGCGACAACGGCGCCAGCAACTTCATCTGCTACGAGTGTGGAATCGTTACCAAGACCAAGCAGGGCATGGCAATACATATCGGACGTGAACACCGACGACCTGATCATCCGCGAAACTGGGCATCGGGTACATCGTGCAGAATATGCCGCCAGAACTTCCACTCCTTCGCCAAGCTAGTGAAGCATCTAACTACGGTCGCCCGCTGCCGACGGTCATGGCACCTGTGGTATTTACAAGGACCTGCCCTCACGGAGGAGGACGTGGCCACCAATCAGGCGACCTACGCGGCCAGCATAGCCGACAACAAACGCAGAGGCCGCCCCGAACTATACCACCCTATCCCTGCCCATGCATCCGACGTCACTCCCTTACCCTCCCTTGACCTATCACCTTCACCACCGCCATTCTTCCCGACTGTACCAGCGCTTACACCACCACCACCAGCCTACTACCCTCGGACACCGACCAGAAACAGATCTCTGCTTTACCTCACCAACACCGATAGACACCCGAACGATCTGCTCGACATTACGGACCAACGACTATGCTACAATGGAATGGTGATGGAACGGGTTACTCTGACCTTCGATGATCTCTACTCTGTCGATCACCCATCCCAGTACGACGCCCTCGACTCGATCCACCAGCACATTCGACAAGGCGACTTCGCGGGAGTGATGATCAACCTCTCACCCAGCACTTGGATCGACCAAGTCGATGGCGACCCGCACGACAGAACGGCAGCATCTTCCAGAACGACCACGGACCCTTGGGGCAGAGTAAACCTTGGAGGTGAGGCAGCCGAACGTCGACTGATCGCGAACCACCATGCCCGCCTCGCCATCCACACCTTCCATGCTGCTCACGTTGCCGAAGTACCAGCACTACTAGCGCAATCCGCAGCCCCAGCAGGTCCGTCAGTGATGTGGAATACTGAGCTGATGTTCTACGCTACGGAGAATCTTGCTACGAGACGACCGACCATGGTAGACGCCACCAGCAGCCTCTACGCCATCTACTGCGGCCTCTCCCAGGAATACGGCAATCCCCTCGACGATTTCGTCACCTCCATTTTGGGCAGTCTGCCCCAGCTTGAGGTCGGACAGCAGCCTGCTGATCCGACGACCCGATCTGGCCGTAACATGGCCCATGATGGTCGAGACAGGCGCCCACCACGGCAAGACGGCCGTAGCGCTCAAGGTGGCCGCCAGCCCCATCCTGGACGCCCCCTCGAGGGCGAGGGGGGGGAGGACACGGTTCAGGCCTGACCGACCTGGGCCGCCGCCTGCGTGCAGGCCGTCATGGGGGTGGTTTCCCTTCCTCCTCAGGCCTTTAATGAGCCCCCTCTTCCCGCTCCATCTTGCCACCCCCACCTTTGTGCTCGTCCTCCCCTGCATGCCACATCTCCAGCAGGGCTCACTGGTGCTGGCATGAACCAGCAGGGCTCGCAGGTGCTGGGAGGACCATCGATGTGGCATCCATGGAGGAGGCGCAGGACAACGGATCTGGCGCTGCCCTCGTTTTCGAGAGGAGTGCGGCCTCTCCCTTATCCTCCATCAAGTCATCCTCTTTCTTCCTTCCTCTGGCCGCTCGTCCCCGAAACTCCTGGGCCCGTTTTCTCGGTCCTTTTCGGCCCCCGCCCCTCCCCTTTCGAAGCCTAGGCGGCTTTCCCTTTGTCCTCCTGGCGGGGGTCTGTGTCGGGGGGTGGTCCCCCCTATGCGCTTCGGGCGCGCGCGCGTAGCTCGGGCCGCGCGGACGGCTGCGTCCGACAGGACATCGAGCCGATAGAGATAGCGATAGCGATAGGAGGAGGAGGAGGAGGAGGAGGAGGAGGAGGAGGAGGAGGAGGAGGAGGAGGAGGAGGAGGAGGAGGAGGAGGAGGAGGAGCCTCTGAGCCTCACCCCTCGCTCCTGAGGATTCTGCAAGGGGCCCGGACCCCCCGCTCTCACATCTCCGAGGCTCGGCACGTGCCCCCTGGGCTCCGGGAAGCGTTGTCGCGTGAGTGCTTCGGGCCCACGGCGGCCGTACGACGGGCCAGGAAGGCCCCAAGAAGCCCCCACGACGGTCCAAGAGGGCCCCGAGTCGCCGAACGATCGCCCCAAGACGCTCAAGCTGGCCCAAGATTCCTCCAAGACGCGCAAAAATGGCCTCCCAGAGGCCCCCAAAGAGGGCCCCTAAGAGGCCCAAAGCATTGATTTTACTAAGGTTTTGGAAATGTCTTGGCCTTCTCGCCATTTCGGCTTCCCAGCGCTCCCAGACGGCCCAAGAGGCGTCCAAAACGGCCCAAGAGGGTCCAATCGGGTCCCAAAAAGGGGAACACGAACCGAAAATCCAAGCCTTTCGTTCAAACAGGCGCCCAGGATGCCCCAAGAGGCCCCTACGAGCCCAAAAGAGGCCCCAAGAGGTCTCCACAAAGCCCCTGAGAGGCGTCCAAAGTGCCTCCAAGAGCCCCCCGAGAGGCCTCCCACGAGATCCCAACGAACATCCAAGGCTTCATACCCGCAGCCCAAGCACGGTGGCGGGATGGGCCGAAGGCCACGTGAGATCCGCCGCCCCCTTTTGATTTATCAAAGGGGTGCCTGGGGTGCCAGACTATAAGGCTTTTGGTTTTGGTTCTTTTTCCAAAAGGACTCCCCCTGGGGCTTCGGCTTGCCCCGCCGGCCACCCGGAAGACCTGGATGCCAACGGTTTTCCTGCCCCAGACGGCCCCAAGATGGCCTCCAAGACGGCCAAGATGCCTCCAAGACGGCCAAGATGGCCTCCAAGACGGCTCAGATGGCCCCAAGATGCCTCCAAGACGGCCCAAGATGTACCCTAGACGGCCTAAGATAGCCTGAAGATGGCCCACGACGGCCCAAGAGGCCCCCAAGAGGCCTGCGGCGACGACCCAAGAGGCCTCCAAGAGGTCCTCCAGGAAGGCCCGAAGAGGCCAAAATCATTTATTTTCCGTCGGTATTTGAAGGATTTTGGCATTTGCTTCTTCTCGGCATTCCGACGGCCCCAGACGGCCCAAGAGGCCCCCAAGATCGCCCCAAGATCGCCTACGAGGTCTCCAAGATGGCCCCATGACGGCCCAAGAGGCCCCCAAGACGGCCCCAAGAGGGACCCAAGAGGCCTCCAAGACGGCCAAGATGGCCTCCAAGATGGCCCAAAATGGCCTCCAAGATGGTCCAATATTGCCTCCAAATCCGCCCAAGAGAGGAGGAGATGCCTCCAAGTCCGTCCAAGAAACCTCCAAGACGGCCCAAGATGGCCCAAGAGGTGCCCAAGAGGCCTCCAAGACGGCCCAGGAGGCCTCCGAGAGGTCCTCCAGGAGGGCCCGAAGATGCCAAAATCATTGATTTTCCCTGCTCCTCCTTCTTCTCCCCCGCGCCTCTGCGGGCGCATGGGCTCCCGGCTCAGGGGACAAGATGACCGAGTTCATGGGCAGCAGCTGGATCGGCTCCAGGCTGGGCCTGTCGCGGTAATACTGGCGCGTCCAGGGCGAGTCCGTCCGGCTCCCGCGGTCGGGTGGTCACCCCACGGGGCCCAGGAGCGACCCGAGCGCTCCTCCCCCCCTTCCTCCTCCTCCTCCTTCTCCTCCTCCTCCTCCTCCTCCTCCTCCTCCTCCTCCTCCTGCCTCCTGCCTCCTGCCTCCTGCCTCCTGCCTCCTGCCTCCTGCCTCTCTCCTCTCTCCTCTCCTCCTCCTCTCTCTTCTCTCCTCTCTCCTCCCTCCTCCCCTCCTCTGTCCTCCTCCTCCTCCTCCTCCTCCTCCTCCTCCCTCCCTTCTCCTTCTCCCTCCTCCTCCTCCTCCTCCTCCTCCTCCTCCTCCTCCTCCCTCCTCCTCCTCCTCCTCCTCCTCCTCCTCCTCCTCCTCCTCCTCCTCCTCCTCTCTCCTCTCTCCTCTCTCCTCTCTCCTCCTCCTCCCAAGACCTTGCAGAGCGGGGCCCCTGCAGATGGGCTCCGAGGGCAGCACCGCATCGCCGATACGTCGGTGGTGCGTGGGCGATGTCCGGATGTGAAGCATCGAGCTCCGAGTCGAACCGATCTGCTCGGATCCCATCTGGGCGGCCTGGACAAAAGTGCCCTCCAAGGGCCAAAAAGCAGCCAAAGCAGTCGATGATCAACCGAATTTGGTAGTTAGTTGGCTCGGAGAGGCTCGGTTTGGCAGTTCCCGTTGGAGGCTGGCTGTGCACCAGTACCAGCGCCAGCTGGGCCCATCCTGTGCCATGGACCGGTGCACATGCCCTCCTGGTCCAGGCCAAGAATGTTTATACGCCGGTCTTGGGCCCAGGGCGGCCATGAACTGGGCTGGTGCTGGTGCGAGCCTCCGATGCAGTCAGGAAGCCTCCTCAAGGAGAAGGCCCAGCGCAACGCAACGGCCGCTCCTGGGGGGCCGGTGCTCAGCACTGAATGGCTTCACCAGCTGGCTTGCGCAGAGCGCCCAGTCAGCCAGGCTCGAGGCCCGCTGGGAGAAGGAGGGGGGGGGAGGTGGAGGAGCGACCACCAAACGCCCCGGCGTGACTGCGTGAGAGATGCCGAGCTCCGATCCTTGGGCCCCCCCCCTGGAGCCCTCTGGGTGGCCGAAGCGACCACGGGTCTGCCCGCCCACGGTGACCCGGCTGAGCCACTTCACGTTCCTGGCACCAGCGACGCCTGGCAGGAGTGCGCGCACGGGGAAGCCGTGGTCGGGGGGCAGCGGCGCGCCTCCGCGGGAGGCACTTGCACCACCACGACCATCCGTGGCCAGTAGGGCCATACCTCCTGGTCGATGCCAGGAGGCCCTGTACAATGCAGCAGGCACGTGCGATAAGAAGTCTTGCCATACCACTGGGGGATCTAGGGACACGCTTGTCGCCGAACTTTGGGCTTCCTGAGGTCGGCCAAAACTTGTGCTCCGAGGCCATGGGAACATTCGCAAGAACCGTCCGTGGGGCACCTGCCGGCAAGACAATTTCTGATTTGACGTTCCCGGCTGTATATATGCACACGTTCTGACAACTTGCTGCAAGAAATCCAGAGGCAAATGATTCGGTCGATCTTAGATCTCGCAGGCTGCCAACCCTGATAGGCGCCCGCGAGATCGGGAAAACAAGCCGTTTCCATGGGACACGTGCGTGCAAGCCTATCTCTTATCAGGTCTGCCCAGTACAAAGCATCTGAGGGACCTCCTCCGCCTCCTCCTCCCGCTCCTCCTCCTCCTCCTCCTCCTCCCTCCCTTCTCCTCTCCCTCCTCCTCCTCCTCCTCCTCCTCCTCCTCCTCCTCCTCCCTCCCTCCCTCCCTCCCTCCCTCCCTCCTGCTCCTGCTCCTGCTCCTGCTCCTGCTCCTGCTCCTGCTCCTCCTCCTCCTCCTCCCTGCTCCTCCTCCTCCTCCTCCTCCTCCTCCTCCTCCTCCTCCTCCTCCTGAAGGCCCAGGACGGGCCCAGCCCTGGCCACAGCGATGCTGCTGGCGGTGCGAGAGCGCTGCCGCTCCCCCGGGCGCGCCGTTCATCTCCACGGCCAGCAGGCCGTCGCTCGAGCCGTCCAGGACGTGGCGCAGGGGCGAGCACGGGGAGCCACAACGGCCACGCACGGCCACGCGAGCAGGAGCTCGCGGAGGTCTTCCTGGCTCTCGTGGGTCGGCGCGCGAGTCCCCCCCCCCAAAAGAAAACACGATCAGAAAAACACTACGATTCTCCCTGCCATGGCGCGCGGAGCGCGTCCGGGGGCGGCGCCTCTGTGGTGCGGGCAAGGGGGGTCCCACGCTGACCCTAGACTTAGGTCGGGCATGTCCTCCTACAGGCGGCTTTCGAGCGAAGCATCAAACACAGTCAAGCATGCTCGCTGCATATGATAACGCTAGCACAACATATCGGCACCATACCATCTTTTTTTGTTAGGACTCTTCTTGAGTATTCTTCCTGCAGAGGGACATGTCCGACTTAACCCTAGATGCCCACGCGGTCCCACGATAGCTGATGGCCGTGCCGTTGTTGGGCTCCCCAGAAGACGTGTAGTAGCCGTCGAGGCCCTCAAAAGTCACGTGGAGGTCGCCCGCGTCCACGCCGGCCCGCAGGGGCAGGAGCTCCCGCAACACCTCCGCCAGCCGAGGGCCGCGCCAGAGCGCGTTTCCAAGCATCCCGAGCCCGATGTGCTCGCTGTCCCCTCCGACGAAGCCGCTGGCGTGGACGCCGTTGGCGGCGATGTTGTCCGCCGCCCGGTTGCCCGCGCACTGCATCACGGAGACGACGCTCACGGTGCCGAACCTGGCCCGGAGCTCCGCCAGCGTCAGGGTCGCGACCTCGTCCTCCCCCATGCAGAATGTGATGGCGTGCTCGCCGGCCTCGTCGGGCGGCACGTGGGGCACTGGGGCGTGGTTGCGAACGTAGAAGGCCCCGTTTGGGGTGAAGTACGAGAGCGCCAGCTCCGCCGAGGGGGTCTCGGACTGGTAGGGCATCTCGCTCAGCGATGAGGCCCGCCTCCGATTCTCGGCGCGGCAATGGCCGCTCTGCTCCTCGGCCCACGCGCCGCCCCCGCGGCGCTCCTCCTCTTGGATGCTCGCCAGAGTGACCCTGGGCCAAGGGTTAGGTCGGACATGCCCTCCTACAGGCGGTTCATTGGAAGACCGAAGAAAGCAATGGCCAGCAAATTCTCAGAAACGCTCTAAACATAATCTGGCCATCGCTCGGACGTCCATTTCCTGTGTTTTTCTCGGTTCCGTGAATGGTTTTTTCGCCAGATGATCAAGGATGCTCCTCGATGGTCCTCGCCGAGGGAAAAATGCACACGTCCGAGCGATGCCAAGTAATCGAACATCGCCACCAGACTATCTCTTATTGACTGTTCTTGGCTATTGTTCCTGTAGAGGGACATGCCCGACTCAAGGCCAAGGGTGGCCTCCGGTGCGAGGCTGGCCGGTCGCTGCGCAAAAGTGCGGCAGTGGCGGCCTGCTTGCTTGGGCTTGGCCCATGGCGAAGAGGGGGGCCATCATCCCGCCACATGGCAAAGAGGCTGACCATCATCTACGTCGGCTGCCTTTTCATTCATATATGTATACACGTGTATGTATATGTGGATGTATATGTGTATGTCTATATATATATATAGATATGCAGATGCAGATGCGTATACGTATGTATGTATGTATGAGTGTATGTATGTATGCATGTGTGTGTGTATGCATGCATGCATGCATGCACGCATGTATGTATGTACGGATGTATGGATGTATGTATGCATATTTGTGTGCATATATGTATGTATGTGTGCATGCACGCATGCATGCATGCATGCATGTATGTATGTATATATGTATGTATGTATGTATGTATGTATGTATGTATGTATGTATGTATGCCTGCATGTACGCACGTCGGTATTGATGTACGTATGTATGTATGTATGTGTGTACGGATGCATGTCTGTATGTATGTATGCATGCATGCATGCATGCATGCATGTATGTATGTATGTATGCAGGTATGTATGCATGTATGTATGTACGTCTATACGTTTGTATGCATGCTTGTTTGTATGCATGTGTGCACGTATGTATATCTATATATATATATATATGCATATATGATTGCATGCATGCATGTGTGTATGCATGTATGTATGTATGTATGTACGTATGTATGTATGTATGCATGCATGTATGTATGTATGTATGTATGTATGTATGTATGTATGTATGTATGTATGTATGTATGTATGTATACACATCTGACAAGGAATGAAGTTGAACTTATATTTTGTTTTCATCTTCAGCTTCCTCGTTGGCTTGGCTTCCTCCGGGCTTGGCCACAGTCATCGCTCATCTCTTTGGCTTGGCTCCGCGCGCCCCCCGAGGGCCGCGCACCAAGGGATTCACTCCGCCGAGGGGTGACTCTCACGGGCAGCCGATCTTGGAGGCGGCCAGGGGGTCTGAGCTGGTTGGGCTCCGAGGACATCGGTCCAGAGGGGGGGGGAGGCATGAAGGCAAATCCGCTCAAAATCGGTGCCCAACCCCCTCGCGGAGCCCATCTGGTGCAGTCTTTCACTCCGTATCCCTCTTTCTTGACGGGCCCCAGGACCCGATAGTGGCCCCCGGAGGCCGAAAAAGGCGAAGGAAAGCCATACTCCAGATTTCGTAATAAAGAGAGGGGTGTCTCATTTCGGGGGGGCTCTTCCAGGCTATCTTGGAGGGCCTGGGGGGGTCTGGGGACGATGTTTTGGAGGGTTCTCCCACGGGGGAGGTCTGAAATGGCTTGTCTTGGAGGGTCCAGACCCCCTCCCTTTTATTACGAAATCTGGAGTACTGTGCCCAGCACCTCGAACCTGCCCCCCCCCCCCCCTCCCTGCTGGCCAGAACCAGCGTTGGGCCACCTCCGGCCCCCGGCCGACTCTGCAGAGCCGCTCCTCCTCCTCCGGCTCGAAGTCGACGAGCCGGCCTATCCGCAGCCGCTCGAGGGCCCTCGGCACCTCCGGGGACACGTGCCGGCGGCGCGCGCACGGGGGAAGGCGCGGATGGGGGCGGCCTTCTGGGAGGGCGGGTGGCTCTTCAGACGGAGGGGGCCTTCCTGGAAGGCCTCCCGCCTTCTGAGAGGAGAGGCCTCCTAGACGGGGCCGGAGGATCACGCCGCGTCGCTAATGCATTGGCGATGTATCGGCGATGCATCGTCGTCGTCGTCGTCGTCGTCGTCGTCGTCGTCGTCGTCGTCGGCGATGCATCGGCGCCATCGTCGCCGATGCATCGTGGGTCAGAGCCGGCGGAGCGACACGCTGAACTCAAATTCCTGAGCGTAGACGCAGGGGGTCTTCTTGGGAGGCCTCCAGTCCTCTAAGAAGCCTTCTCGGAAGCCTTCCTTCTAGGAGCCCCCGCCTCGCAGAAGGCCTCGCGCGTCTGGTCTGCGGCCGTAGCGCGGCTGCCAGGCGGCCGTTCGGGTCCACTCGGTCACCCCCGCATTGCTCTCGGCCAGACCCGACGAACGCGTGCGAACCTCGATCCCCAAGCCTCGACGCCCGACGCCGTGAATTTTTCACAACGTGAGCCCCCGGACGTCTCGACCCATTCCCTAGGACCGGATCTCCACCTCGAGTCCTTTCATGACGGTCCCGGGGCCCAACGAGGGCCCCTGGAGGCCGAACGCAGCAGAAGCCTCCCGTCACGATCTCTTCGCGCCGCGAGGATGCCTGGGCCGATCCCCAGATCTCTCGTCCCCCTTGCGCCCGCCCCGTGGAGAGCAACTCGCGGCAGCTTTCAGTCGTCCCCACGGCGCCCAGTAGCGCCATCTCCCTCGCCTGGGCGCTATTGATCGCTGTTGGGCGCCCTTTGAGCGCTACTCGGCGCGATTGGGCGCCATTCGCCGATGCTCGTTCAATGCAAGACGAGCTGGAGCTTCTGTGATCTACTATCTAGCCTTATGCTGCTCCCGTGGTGCTCAAAGGGCCACGTCCCAGAAGTAATTTCGAGCACCCAGGAAAGTATCGAGGCAATGCCTGCGCGGACCGCCAGCGAGGTGTCGAACTAGGGTCGCCTCCCGGGCCCCGACACGTGAACACCCTCCAGTTTCGGTACTCTCTCGGTGCTCGAAAATCGGGGAGACGTAAGACTCGGGTTGGGGGGACTCGGGTTGGCCCGACGGGGCCATCATAAAAATTACGTGACCCAATCTGAAATTGGACGCGGGCTCCCGCTGCAGACATCCCACGAAAACTGGACCGTCAAAATCCAGGACCTCGTCAAACAACGTCCGCAGACCCGAGTGACCCGAGTTCCGGCCTACTCGAGTTTTACGTCTTCCCGAGACAAGTTCTTTCTCTTGCCGTCGCTCGGACGTCCATTTCCCGTGCATTTTTCGGTTTCGTGCGTGTTTTTTTGGGGGGCTCGATGGTCCAGGATGGTCCTCGTTGGTTCTCGCCGGAAAACAAATGCACACGTCCGAGCGATGCCAAGTTCGGGTGATCAGGGCCAAGGTCGGTTGGAACAGCGTAAATCTGCCGCCCCCCGCCCCCCCCCCCCTGCGCCCCCCAGCGCGCGCCGCCAGATGTGGTGCTGCGACCAGTGGGCCCAGAAGCCCTCCACGGGCCCCCCCGCCGCCTGGAGGAGGAGCCGCCCGCCCGGGTGCTCCTCCGCCAGGTAGCGCGTGACGTCGTAGACCCCGTCGCGGTACGTCACCTGGGTCGCTCTCCAAAGGCGGGGCTGCTCCTCCTCCTCCTCCTCCTCCTCCTTCTTCTCCCGCCTCCTCCTCCTCCTCCTCCTCCTCCCGCCTCCTCCTCCTCCCGCCACCTCCTCTTCCTCCTCCCTCCTCCTCCTCCTCCTCCCGCCTCATCCCTCTCCCTTCCTCCTCCTCCTCCTCCTTCCTTCCTTCTGTCCTTCCTTCCTTCCTTTCTTCCCTCCTGCCTTCCTTCCTTCCTTCCTTCCTTCCTTCCTTACTTCCTCCTCTTCCTTCTCCTCCGTCGCCTCCTCTTCCTCCTCCTCCTCCTCCTCCGATTCCCTCCTACCCCCCCCTCTTGGACTCCATCGCGAGACGTCACCCAAACGATCCCGTCCTCGCCGCTCCCGTCGTGGGCGCCGACCTCGGCGCGGGTCACCCAGCGCTCGCCGTCTCGGCCGGCCGGGCCTGGCCAGCGCGGCCCGCGGAGCTCGGCGCCCGCGAACCAGCGGTAGCCGGCGTGCCAGCTCCCCTGACATCCCTCCTCCTCCTCCTCCTTTTTCTCCTCCTCCTCCTCCTTGTTCTCCTCGTCCTCCTCCTCCTCCTCCTCCTCCTCCTCCTCCTCTCTCCCTCCCTCCTCCTCCTCCTCCTCCTCCTCCTCCTCCTCCTCCTCCTCCCTCCTTTTCCTCCTCCCCTCCTCTTCTCCTCTTTCTCCTCTTCCTCCTCCTCCTCCTCTTCCTCCTTTTTCTCCTCTTCCTCCTTTTTCTCATCCTTTTTCTCCTCCTTTTTCTCCTCCTTTCTCTCCCCCTCCTCCTCCTCCTCCTCCTCCTCATCCCCTCCCCCTCCGACCACCCCAAAGCGGAGATCTCCTTTCCTCTGGGCTCCCCCCGCTGCATCCGGCTAGAAGGCCGCGGGACTGGGCTCGACGACGGTCTCCTCCCATTTTTCCCGGCAAGGGCTCAGGCCCAAGGTTCTCTTTGGAGGGGTGGCGCGCAGGGTGAGGAGCAGTTTCGCCGGAGACAGCCTCACGGAATGGGGATGCTGCCAACGATGCTGGTATTCCAAACTGTGGCCTTCGCCCTGGACATCTTCAGGCGAATGAAAGGTTTGAGATCGGGCGTCGGATTTCGACATGGTGTGGGGTGTGTCTCGCCTGCGACATCCTCACGCAATGGGGATGTTGACGGAGCTCTTGGAACGACGCTGGTATTCCAAACTGTGGCTTTCGCCGTGGACATCTTGAGACCAGTGAAATGTTTGAGATCGGGCGTCCGATGTCGAATACGGTGTGTGTGTGTGTGTGTGTGTGTGTGTGTGTGTGTGTATGTATGTGTATGTGTGCGCGCGTGCGCGCGCGTGTGTGTGTGTGTGTGTGTGTTGTGTGTGTTTGTGTGTGTGTGTTGTGTGTGTGTGTGTGTGTGTGTGGGGGGGGGGTGGGGCGTTTCACCTGAGACAGCCTCACAACATGGGGATGCTCGAGGAGTTGCTGGAGCGACGCTGCTCTTCAAGAGTGAGGCTCTCGGCCGAGGCGTCCTAGGAACAACGACATGCTGGACATCGTGCGTCCGACATCGAACACGGTGTGTGTGTGTGTGTGTGTGTGTGTGTGTGTGTGGCGCCTCGCCCGAGACATCGTCACAACAAAATGGGGCTGCTGGAGGAGCTGCCCACGAGGGACGACGACGCCGACGCCCGCAACCCACGGCGCAAATCCGCCCCCCCCACTTCCGAATCCCCACTTCGGAGGCCCAGAGAAAAGGTGGTCACACGTATCTAAAGGGGCGCAAGGACACACACACAAATAAATTCACACAAATAACAATATTCCCCATGTTTCCCAATATTTTTTGGATTTTCGTCTTCCCCCCACTTCCCATAGTTTCCCATATTTTCCGGGGAATCGACGATTCACTGTGTCTGTGTGTTTTCTCTCCCCTCCTGAATATCTTGGGGGTCCCAAGACCGTGTGGTGACAGACCCTGCGGTGACCTCGACATCCCCAAAGGCTTCACCGCATGGTCCGCCACCACACGGTTTTGGGGACCCAGGAGGCCCAATCGCCCGAGACACGTCCTCCGAGAGCGACCCAGGTCCCAAAACCGTGCGGTGACCCCGAATCCCCACCGACTCACCACACGGTGTGGCCACCACCCCGTTTGGAGGCACCCGAATATCCTCTCTGTGGCACTGTCACCACAATGCGCCCCTGACCCTCGGTTTACAGCAACAGGGACTCCCGCCTGATACTTCCGCATTCTTTATTCCTAAATGGCGCTCTCGCGCGGGACTTCCTCACAATTCGTGCAGGAATCGTGTTCTCGCGTGGAACGTCCTCGCAATTTATTCAGACGCCGCGCCCTCGACACTCAGGAATGACGCTCTCAATGCAGATTTCCTCATTATTCATTTGGCAATCGCGCTGTCGCTCGAGACCTCCCTGCAATTCAAGCAGGACGCACGCTTCAACAACCAGCCTTCTCGACCTGGCCGCTTGGGCCCGCCTTCCCGACCCGCCCGTTAGGGTCTACCCGCCCGATCTGCTCGTAAGGTTCTGCCACGTGCTTTTTGCTCCTGGCTCCCCTCCTGCTACTCTCTCTTGTGCTCCATCCTCCTCCTTCCCCCTTGTCCCTTCCTTCCATCCGTCCTCTCTTCCCTTGCCTTGGGGGCTGCACGAAATTCACGCTGCACATAATATATATATATACACATACACACATATATATATATATGTATATATGGACTACATGCACATAATCATACCCCAAGGGGGGACGATCGAAGACGAACACGGCGGGGATCGAGGGTTTGGGGTATACGTGTTGAAGAATGGCACGCGAGCAGACAAGAGCGAACAGTATTCAAAAGATTGCAGTAGTAGTTGTTGTTGTTGCTGCTGTTTTTTTGTTGTTGTTGATGTTGTTGTTGACCTCTCAGTACTGAATGATGGCTACTGCTGATCCCCCAACTCGCGGGGCACATGGTGTTTTTTTCATGTCCTGGGCCTGCACCCTCTCTTTTACAAGGGAAAAAGGGGGGGGGTCACCACAGTGGGCCCCTGGCCCCCGAGTTACAACAACAACAACGGCCCCCGCCTGATACTTCCTTACAGTGTATTCCATATCGCGCAATTTATTTAGATGCCGCGCTCTCGACACTCAGGAATCACGCTCTCGCCATGGAATCCCTTCAACATTCATTCGGGAATCGCGCTATCGCTCGAGACTTCCCTACGATTCATGCAGGACGCACACTTCAGCAACCCGTCTGCTCGACCTAGCAGCCTGGGACCGCCTTCCCAACCCGCCCGTTTGGGTCTACCCACCTGGTCTGTCCGTAAGGTTTTGCCACGTGCTTTCTGCTCTTAGCCCTCCTCCTGCTACTCTCTCTTGTGCTCCCTTCTCCTCCTTCCCCATTATCCCTTCCTTCCATCCGTCCTCTCTTCTTCTGCCTCAGGGACTGCGCGAAATATACGCTGCAAGTAAGACACACACATATATACATATATATAGATATAAATATATCCCCAAGGTTTTCGGATATACATGCTGAGTGGCACGCGATCAACTATGATCGAACAATCTTAAACTGATTGTTGTTGTTGTTGCTGCTGCTGCTACTGCTGCAACTTTCAGCCTCCTGGGGCCCTCGCTGGGCCCCAGGGCCGTCAAGACACGGCTCAGGACGGAAAGCCACTGCCCCGAAAAGGACCCAGACCTGTGGGGGGGGCTTCGCTGCGACAGAGATCCCGACGCTGGACGTCTGGGCCTCGGGGCCCTCGGCTCGCAGGCATGCCGCCGCGGCGCCGCAGCGGCGGCGGCGCGCGTGCTCGGCCGCGGCAGCTGCGCAGCAACCCCCGAGAACTCGCCGCGCCGCCGCGTTCATCCTCCGAGGCCCCTGGCCCCAGGAGCGAGCCACCCTGCTCTGGCCAAGAATAGCTGCGGTGGCACAAAGTGCTAGCCATGGGCCTATGGCCGGGAGGTTGGTGCCGTGCAAGAGGGGCGCTGGCGGTTACGCCACCCGCGGGCCACAGGACAGGACAGGATGATGATGGAGATGATGATGATGATGATGATGATGATGATGATGATGATGATGATGATGATGATGATGAGGATGATGATGGTGATGATGACGATGACGATGATGATGATGCTGCTGATGATGATGATGATGTCGATGATGATGATGATGCTGATGCTGATGATGACGATTATGATGATGATGATGATGATGATGATGATGATGATGGTGATGATGATGATGATGATGATGATGATGATGATGATGATGATGATGATGATGATGTCGATGGTGATGGTGATGGCGATGGTGATGGTGCTGATGATGCTTATGATGGTGACGATTAGGGCGATGGTGATGACGATGGTGCTGATGATAAGGAGGAGGAGGAGGAGGAGGAGGAGGAGGATGATGATGATGATGATGATG